AAAAAAAAAAAAAAAAAAAAAAAAAAAAGTAAATGTTCATAATACACCAGTAAAAAATATAGAGAAGTATAAGGCAAAGCAATCATTGAGAATACTGCCTTCTGAAGAAGACCAGTAATTGATATTTTGCCCTGTTTTTTAAGTCTTCCATATCTAATTTCTTAAGTCTAATTTGTTATTGTACAATTGTTTTTCCCATCCTTTGACCTAACATTCTTGTGTTTTCTTACATTTTAGTAGTTTACAAGTAGGAATATTAGACTGCAGGGGTGTGTGACTCAGTGCTTAGCATGCACAAGGCCCATAAGTCCACACCAAAGGAAAAAAAATATTAGAAATACTACCAGAATTAGAATGACACATACCCCACTTCCACCATGGAGTTGGGAAACTACATCCCCTGTCCCAGAGTGACTTTTCAAAGTTTGTTGTGGGGCTGGGGATGAGGCTTAGTAACAGAGTGTTTGCCTAGCATGTGTGAGCCCTTAGGGTGAATCCCCAGAACCTATAGAAAACTACAAAAAAATTACAGTGAATTCATATAAAGCTTTCATCCAGATTGAGTTAAATGTTTGTAAATTTCAAGAGGAACTTGTAAAGCCCATTTACAAAAGACCTGCAGGAGCCAGGAATTGTGATACACACATATAATCCTCTCAGTAGGCTGAGGCAGGAGGATCTCAGATTTGAAATCAGCCTGGGTTACATAATGACTTTAGGGCTGGCCTGAATGACTGCCAGACCCTGTTTCAAAAACCAAAACAGATGTAGCAGTCACCCAAGTCACCCCTTTCCATCCACAACTGAGGAGTAAGAATTAGGACCTGGGTGATGATGGCTGGGCCAGACACGGGCGTTCCCCTGTAGCATGCGTTTGCATGCCCCTTCCTCCCAGTAGCATGAGTTCCGGCTAGGAGTGCGACTCTACTCAGAGGAGCAGCCCCAGGAAGCTGTGCCCCACCTGGAGCTGGCACTACAAGAATACTTTGTGGCTGACGAAGAGTGTCGTGCCCTCTGCGAGGGACCCTATGACTATGACGGCTACAACTACCTGGACTACAATGCTGACCTCTTCCAGGCCATCACAGGTGCGTGCAGCTCCGCGTGCACCTTTGGGCTAAAAGCCTCCCAGAGCTAAAAGCTCATCATTTTGATGATACAGAGTGGCTACAGCCTCACTCCTTCCTAAATTCCTAAGCCTGAGAATCTGGCTGGAAATTGTTCCCACTTGAACTTGTCATCATAAGCAGAATTTGATCCCTGAAGTGTGACTTTCTAGTCATTTCTCATCTTGGATTCCTTTCAGATCATTATGTCCAGGTCCTCAGTTGTAAGCAGAACTGTGTCACCGAGCTGGCTTCTCACCCAAGTAGAGAAAAGCCCTTTGAAGACTTCCTCCCATCACATTATAATTATCTGCAGTTTGCCTACTACAACAGTAAGGCTTGCTTTCTTTCCTTTCTCTCTGCTGCCTTAACCTGGAAGCTCAGTCAGAGCCAGGCATGTTGGTACAACATGTGATCTCAGCACTTGGGGTGGCTGAGGCAGGAGGATTCCAAGTTAGAGTACAACTTGAGCACTTGAGCTGCTTATTGGAACCCTATCTCAAAATAAAAAGCAAAAAGGGGGCTGAGGATTTTATTTATTTGTTTGTTTGTTTGTTTATTGGTTTTTTGAGACAGGATCTCACTATATAGTTGAGACTGACCTGGAACTCACTATGTAGCCCAGACTGATCTCGAACACACAACGATCCTCCTACCTCAGGCTCCCGAGTGCTGGGATTGCAGGCGTGCGCCACCACACCCAGCCACTGGGGATATAATTTAGTCAGAGGTTCTGAGTTCAGTCACCAGGACTGCAAAACAATTAAAAATAAAACAAAAAATGCTAAGCCGGGCAGGTAGAGTTACAGACACTGAACCTCCTTAACTTGTCTGGCTTTTCTCTAGGCTTTGGAACTCTAGGACCTCTATCTTATCCTATTACATTTGTAATCTAAATTTGCATTTGAATTAAAGTAATAACAAAAGTAAGGGTGTGCTGCAGTTTAAAACAGCTTGCAGGATGTTTTCTGCCATCCGGCCTAGTACAGCACCAGTGCTCTTGGGGCCTTGTCTATATCTAGATAGTCAACAAATCAGCAGGTTTTTACCAAGTTACTACTATGCCCTGAGTGTTACAGCGTATTCAGGAATACACATGTCAGTAGTTTGAGTCAGGGAGACCAACGTATGAACAAGAGCTGATCTGCCAAAGAGCACTATGTGCCTTTGTAATCTTCCTCCCCCATCTGAAAATCCATGTGAAAAAAGGTAAGACAGGAACATTTCTGAAAGTGGTCTAATGATGGGTATATTGAGGCAGTATATTGGCAAGTATTTTAATTATTTGTGAGTTTTTAAAGAGATGGGCATGCAGAGGAGTCTAATTCTTTCCTGTTTCAATGGTAGACAGCATTGAGGACATGAGACAACCGAAAATTGATTACATAGTCTCTGTGTATTCTGTTACTTCTCCCCTCAAATCAGGCCATTGTATTTGATAGCAAGGAAGCACCACGTTGACCTGCTGTGCCTCAAGCTTCACAGAGACTGAACACTAAGTGGTTTTTTTGTTTGTTTGTTTATTTTTTAGTTTATTGGTACATTCTAGGTATACAGTACAGTTATATTCATTACTGGGATCTTGTACCTTTACATGACAGGTCTTAGTTCTCATTTTTTTCCCTTGTCCCTGCCCTCCCTTCACCCCCTCCTCCCCTCCCTATTTACAAACACTTTTATTCCATTTTTTCATTTTCTCACATACTAAGTGTTTTTTGATACCCAGAATTAGACCTTCTCCTCTCAGCCATTTTTTCTTGCTTTGCAGTTGAAAATTATACACAAGCTGTTGAATGTGCCAAGACGTACCTCCTCTTCTTCCCAAATGACGAGGTGATGAGCCAGAATCTGGCCTACTATGCAGCTATACTTGGAGAAGAGCAAGCCAGCTCCATTGGCCCCCGTGAGGTGAGGTTTGCGTCAGTGAAGGTAGCTACCAGCTGATCCCAACCAGAGGACAGAAGAGTGGGGCAGCAGAGAGACACAGGGCTCGTGTGTGTGCACTGGCTTGGCTCGTTGTCACTCAGGGTGGGACACAGCGTGGGCAACGAGCCAAAGCCACACAGCGTCATCTGGACCCAGTGCATGTTCTCTGAGTCTATACAGAAGGCAGAACTGTAAAGCCACTGCTCTGCCCCTCTTGGCACCCCGCTTCAGCGTGATGTCATTTGGCTGGGGTTCACTTCTGTTTCCTTCATGCTAGATTTATATTTTCACTCATTTGTTTTTCATCTTTTTTCCTCCCCATCCAGTCTTCTCTTTGACGTTGTCCTGTTCTTTCTCAGCTCTCAGCATTAGTCTTATCTCAGTCTAAAACAAGGAGAAAAATCCACATACCACAAAGACTACTCTGAGAGGAAAACCGAGGTTCCTCTTTCCTAGCTGTGGATCTTGAGTATCCAGTGGAAATACACTGCCAGCCTCTCCCATGTGATCTGCTTTCTTGTAGTTTTCCTCTCTGGCCACTAGATGGTGACCACCTGGCTCTGAGATGGCACCCCCCGTGTCTTTGTCTTGCTTGACAAACATACATACACTACACGTATCTATAATATACACATACATATACATTTTTTCTCCTCTGTGGTCATATTAGTGAGTCTGGGAAAGGGAGAGAAATTAACCCATGTGGCCAGTCTCCCATTGTTAGCTAGAGTTTCCTGGAAAGAAGATAGCTAGCATCTGTTGAGGTCTTGTTCAGGTCAAGCCCTGTGCTGAGTGGCCTCAGTCCATCATCTTATTTAGTCAGCACAGCTGCCATGGTAAAGATGAGAACCTGTAGATGAGGTAGCTTATGCAGTGGCCTGTGGCTGGTTCATGGTGACTGGAATCTGTTCTTGCTTTGTCCGCAGTGCTGGCATGGTTTCTGACACATTACCGGAACTCAGTAAACCAGGATTGAGTGGACAAGGAACAGAAGTGGGATTTACTCCCTAGTAGTCTCACTGAATTGCTGGAGTGGGTTAAAGGAGATAGCACATGGGGCTTGGTGTCTAGCACTAGATGAAGGAGGCAAATAATTTAAACTCCTTTAGGAGTATTTCCATCTTCTTTGGTAATTGCAGTAGCTGAAAGGACTACTTTTAAGACTTTCCTCTTTAAACTGCCCCATCTTTTATTTCAACTGATGATGTCTTCTTTATCTCTTCCTTCCTTCTGCTGCTGCTCGGAGACTGGCAGGTCACCTAGGGAAAGATGTGACCCTGGAAGGGACTCAGTTTCCCTGCCCTGGGTAAGCACACTTGAGAGGCCAGCGTGCCAGGCCCAGCAGTTCTGCAGCTGCCAGTCTCCAGAGAGGGATAGGGTCTGAGGGGAGGCAGGTGGCCGAGTAGAAAGTACCTGGGCCTGAGGACCAGAAAGACTTGGGTGTGCATGTAGGTCTCTGGCTCCCCTACTTCCTCTGGGTATCGCCTTAAGGGGCACATCCCCTGTGCTCTAAAGTTTCTTCACCTGTCAAAATGAGGGTGACACCCCAGGGCGGTTGTAAAGATCGAATGAATAACAGAGCTGCCTGGCACCTGAGTTCCCTGCCTGAGCATAGCTTCCCACAGATGTCAAGGGGGAAGTCTGCTCCTCTAAAGCATCTTTCCACATCCCCTGAGGGTCACCAAATTTTTTTTCCTCCAAGGGCAGCCTGGTTATGCCACTTTTAGAAGTATCACTTGTGCCAGGCAGGAGGAACCCTTGAGCACAGAAAAGAGGCCTTTGTCTAAACTGGGGAGCAGACCTGTCACCGTGGTGGGGAGGAAGACCTCAGCCACATGGGGAGGGGAAGGCCGGCCACGGCTGTGTGGCAGGGCCAGGCTCCAGAGAATTCCTCCTCCTTGTCTCCTCAGAGTGCCCAGAAGTACCACCGGCGTAGCCTGCTGGAGAAGGAACTGCTTTTCTTCGCTTATGATGTTTTTGGACTTCCCTTCGTGGATCCGGTGAGCCAGAGTGGGAGCTGGAGAAGGAAAGGGAGGAGGCTCTGAGGGGTCAGGGAGTGGTGCACAAATGTGGGATGTGTGTGCGGATGAGCGACAGCAAGGAAGATGCAGGGGGACCCTGGGCAGCAAGATGCAGCCTAGGTTCAAGAGCTCCCGCCTCATCTCCCACAGAGTGTAAGTGGGGAGGCAGATTGCCCCTGGCAGCCCGTGTCATGACACACGACCTGGAAGAAACCCTGTAACTCTGCTTTCAGGACACATGGACTCCAGAGGAGGTGATCCCCAAGAGACTGCAAGAGAAACAGAAGTGAGGCCCTTGAAGAAACTGCATGATTGGATCGGTGTGACGAAGCGCTTGAGGCTTCCTTTGCCCAGGCAGATGGGAACTCCTGGCCCTGGGGGGCAGGTCCAGTCTGGGAAGCTGGGGTGGGAGCACAGGGCCAGCCCCAGCCCAGCCCTCAGAGCCGCTGCGCTTACAGGTCCGAACGGGAAACCGCCGTGCGCATCTCCCAGGAGATTGGCAACCTCATGAAGGAGATCGAGACCCTGGTGGAAGAGAAGACCAAGGAGTCCCTGGATGTGAGCAGGCTGACCCGGGAAGGTGAGAGGACGGAGCATGGGGCACATCAGGTGGGCAGGTCGCCCCGCATCTGCTAGACAGCGCTCAGCTCACCGAGAGCCAGCCCCAGTGCCCCCAGTGGGGCACTGACCTTTGCCTCGGCCACCATTCTAACTCTCCAAAGGGACGTTTGCCTGAGTGTAGGCCTTTAGCCAGGGAAAGCTCCTGTGTGTTTACTTAAGCAGGGATAGCCCAGACTCATACTGTCCCTCACTCCAAACTCTTTTCTCTTAACTGTTACCGGGACTCAGAATCGTCCGGCCTCTTGGGCACCTCTTCCCTCCCCCGCCTATGCCTCCAGTCCAGAGAAGGCCCTGAGATGGCTCCACTCTGCACTCTCTCATCTCTCTTGCCTTCTTCCTTTTCCATTGCCTCGGGCCTCATCCTCTCTGCACCCATCTCCCCCAGTGCCCTGTGTCCTTGCCCCTTCTCACTCACAGGTGCCAGGCTCACCTTCTGGACCCTGGGACCCTGAGCCCATCCTCTCCTGCCTTTTACCTCTTCTGCTTACTCTTTCTCTGGTGTCTGTTCCCCCACCTGCCCTCAGCCCACACATTCTTGTTCCTGCTCGTCCCTCCTGCTCTTCCCACACCTCTGCCCATGAAGCACCTCAGATATACCTTACGAGGCCTCTGTAGCCTCCCTCTCCTTTACACCTCTGGGAGCATCGCAGTGTGCTTGCTTGGGCATTGTGTGATGGGGAAGGGAAAGTGCTGTCTTCGGGTGTTGGCCTGTCACCGTACCACCTTGCGCTCCCTGACCCTTGGGACATAGGTGCTATTCACTCAGGTCTCTCGAATGTCCCCAAAGAGCCCTAAGGAGAAATGATGGCCTTTGCCCTGCCGTTGCTTAAATTGACAGTAGTGAATCTAACAAAATTAGAGTGAAAAGAATGTGTTCATCATTTCTTTGTTTTCGGAGGGCTTTGTTATTTCTTATTTGTTATTTGTCATAACTGCCTGAGAGGTGGATTAAGCAGTCTGTTAAAATCTTTATTTGACATAAGCGATGACTCTGCTATTGATGATGACTGTATAGTGGTAGCCAGCACTGGGGATTTAGATCAGCAGTGCTGTGCCCGCCTGGCAGGGGCAAGGTCCTGAGTTTGAGCCCCAGTACTGGGAGAAAAAAATGGTAGCCAGCATTTTGACCATAAGTCAAATATTACCCTAATTTTTGAACTTGCCTTACTGTTAACATGAAACTTATAACTGATGTTTGAAAGATGAGAACAGCTTAATTAATTAATTAAACATAATCAACCTTAGAGAGATTAAGTAACTTGGCTCAGGTCATGCAACTAATAAGTGGATGATCCGGGCACCAAACTCAGTTGTGATTCCAGAGCACAGATCTTAAGAATGTGTGTAAAGGGCTGGGGATTTAGCTCAGTGGTGCCACCACGTGCCTCGCAAGCTCAAGGTCATGAGTTCAATCCCTGGTACAATCAATCAATCAATCAATCAATAAATAAAAGAATGTGTGTAAAGCCCAAGAGCCAGTGGCTATTTATTGGCAAAATGAGAACCAGGACGTGGGTCTCGTCTTTACTCCAAGTTCTGTCCTCTGGACCACTCCACTGTGGAAGTGACTGAGTAGGAGAGTTCTCCAGTGAACAGGAAGCCACCGGGATTTCAATTCCTGACAAGGAGGTGATGAAGAGAGCTGCTCCAGGGCTTAGCCAGCCTTTCTGCTTTGCAGGAGGGCCCCTGCTGTATGAAGGCATCAGTCTTACCATGAACTCCAGAGTCCTGAACGGCTCCCAGCGAGTGGTGCTGGATGGCGTGATCTCCAACCCGGAGTGCCGGGAGCTGCAGAGACTGACCAATGTAAGAGAGTGCAGTGGGTGCCCCCTTTCAAGGGCCTCTTAAAAACTGAGTCTGTGCCTGCCCTCTGCTGCCCTGGCTGACTTCACCTTGTCTTTGGACCTTGTAGGCAGCAGCAACTTCAGGAGATGGCTACCGAGGCCAGACCTCCCCACATACCCCCAACGAGAAGTTCTATGGTGTCACTGTCTTCAAAGCCCTCAAGGTAATAATAGGTTCTGGGCATTCTAAAGTGTGAGAAGAGGGGTGTCTGATTCTCTGAGGGCAGAGGGAAGGACAATCTCAGGTTTAGGGAAGAATGGGGATTGTGGTAGAAAAGGAAAAAGTGACTTATTGCTGACAGTCCAGTTGCTGCAGAGTGAGAATGTTGAAGGAAGTTAAGTTGAATCCTGGCTTTAGACAAAGTATGATAAAATGAGGTGAGCAAGACAAACTGATCCCCAGTGCTATGGGATGCTGTCTGAAGAATGGTACATCCCAAGCAGGATGCACAGGTTATTCATGATGAGAAGTACAGCAGGGGGGAAGAAAATGGCGGGGTGTCAGATGTGGGGGGCAAAGAGACTGCACCCTCACAGGGCCTCGGGAGATGCTCGAGATACGGGGTCTCACACCTGTGTCCTTCATAGCCCACACAGGGGCACTAAGGGGAGTAATGATCGGTCTCCTTGGCAGCTGGGGCAGGAAGGGAAAGTTCCTCTGCAGAGTGCCCATCTGTACTACAATGTGACTGAGAAGGTACGGCGCGTCATGGAGTCCTACTTCCGCCTGGACACCCCCCTCTACTTCTCCTACTCCCACCTGGTGTGCCGCACTGCGATCGAAGGTGGGCCTCTTCACCCCTGCGGCCTCCCTGAGCGTGCTGTGCCTGCACTGCGGACTTGGGGACATCCTAGTCAGGGAGCCAGCACTCGCAGCCTGGCCACGGCCCCACGTGTTGAGAGCGAGGTAGCGTGGAGGGAGTCACATCCAGCCAACCTGGAAGTCAGGAAGGCTTCGTCAGAGGGTCCCTGGCACTGACATGCCCTTGGTAGGTGGCTTCTCTCTCCCCAAGGATGTCTGGTGTTCTATAAAAATCTAGACACAGCCAAAGGAATGTGTCAGGCATGAGACTTGTGTCACCAAGCCTGAAGGTAGGGAAGCACTGGTATAGACAGTGGGAAGCCAGGGTAGGATCATCAGATAGGGAAAGACACAGGGGGAATTTCATTTTTAAAAGATTAAGCCGGGTGGGGTGGCGCACGCCTGTAATTCCAGCACTCGGGAGGCTGAGGCAGGAGGATTGCTGTGAGTTTGAGACCAGCCTGGGCTACAGAGTGAGATGCAGGTCAGTCCTGACTACATAGTGAGACCCTGTCTCAAAAAACAAAACAAACAAAAAAAGATTAGTTTTGCTGCTGTTGTGTTGAGTGATTTGGTGAATGCAGACCAAACTGAAGGCACGCAGTTGATCAGGAGCAACCGAGAAGGGCCAGCATGGCGGCCTGATGTTGGAACCCAGCAGCGGGAGTAGAGAAGAGATGCTGAGGGGAAGTGTTGGAAAAATGGGAGTGGCTGGCTGGGCCAGTGGGGCAGTTGAAGAGGCATCTTCCATCCCCACGCTGTGTGTGCGTGGAGGCGGGTATATCTTGTGCCCTGAGCTGCCTGCTGTTCTCTTCTGTGTCCTCCTGCTCCCAGCGTCCTCTCTAAAGTCGACTTCTCACATGTCGCTGCTCCCATAGGTCTCTCCCTCTCCTCTTGTAGCCCTGCTGGAGGAGTGACTCACTGCGTCCTGTACCTCTTGCCCTCCTGACTCGTCCGTTTCACTTCTGTGCCTTCCTGTTTTACAGTGTTTGAGCCACAAACAGGGTTAGGCCACTTGGCCCGGGATGTGCCTCACTGGAGTCCCGTAGTCCTGCTTGCTGCACCCTGCTCATCCTGTAGCCTTGTCCTAACCCCTAATCTGTGGCTTAGACAGACAGCACCCCCATCCAGTTCATAACCATTTCCATAGACTCAAGCACATTTTGGAAAGAATCCACATTCAACTCATGCATGTCCTAGCACTGACCCCAGTTACCTTGGCCCCAGAGACGCAGGCGGAGAGGAAGGACAGCAGCCATCCAGTCCACGTGGACAACTGCATCCTGAATGCTGAGACCCTGGTGTGCGTCAAGGAACCCCCAGCCTACACCTTCCGGGACTACAGGTGAATGAGTACAGGTGGCAGGTGTGGGGCAGGAGTGCTGTGCTCGCTCTCTGAGGCCCCTCCGTACCGTACACTCCTGGTCTCCAGCCTCAGCACACAGGGCCCAGGGCCAGCTGTCCCCGGCGCCCCGGCAGGTAGAGTGGCGAGTAGGCCTGTGCAAGTGGGCCTGGTGCAGAAGCACCCAGAGCAGAGCAGGTGGACTCTCAGGGCCGAGGCTGGGGTTTGGGAGGGCTGCGGGCTGTTCATAGCTTCAGAGAAAAGCTGCTTTGCTTTGGAGGGCCACCCTCCAGCTGCTGGTTTCAAGCACATGAAGGCGAAGGCTCTGGGGAGTGGGAGGAAAGGGGCTATGTTAGGTGTCTCTACCTTTCCCAGTGCCATCCTTTACCTAAACGGGGACTTCGATGGAGGAAACTTTTATTTCACCGAACTGGACGCCAAGACTGTGACAGTGAGTGCTCCTTTGTTCTTAACCCTGGAGCTGGTGTCCAAAGTCCAGTGCATAGAAAAAGCAGCTGGGCCTCCTTGTGTGGCCAGTGCCCCCTCCCCAATCCAGGGCTCCGCCCTAACTCATCTCCGGAGTTGCCCATGGCTTTTCAGTCTTCCCGTGTGTCCCACTCACTTTCTCCCTTTCAGGCAGAAGTGCAGCCCCAGTGTGGACGGGCTGTGGGGTTCTCGTCAGGCACTGAAAACCCACATGGAGTGAAGGCTGTCACCAGGGGGCAGCGCTGTGCCATTGCCCTGTGGTTCACCCTGGACCCTCGACACAGTGAGCGAGTAAGAACAGTTGTGCTGCCGTCAGTTCCTGGGAGGATCCCAATTCCACTTCCTCCGTCCCCAAATCCTGCTGCTGGAAGTATAGTCACGAAAGGAGCACTGCACTTGGGACTCCCAGGTCCCGCACTGTCACTGGTCACACTGCCTTGCCCTCCCCAGGCTTTCCTTACCTGTCAGTGGGTCCAGGTGGGATGGGCCCTGAGCAAGAATCAATGCTGAGTCCTTTGTTCTCTCCTTGAGCGCAGCTCATCTGTCTTCCCCAGAGTGCTGCAGGGACTGCTGGGAAAGGTGCTTGGAGGCTGCAGGGCAACACCTGCATTTTCTTGAGGAAGCAGCAGCTGAAGGGGGGCAGGTTCCTAGCCTTGCCCTCTCTGAGTAGGTGGGGTTTGTCCTTGCAGGACAGAGTGCAGGCGGACGATCTGGTGAAGATGCTGTTCAGCCCAGAGGAGGTGGACCTCCCCCAGGAGCAGCCCCTGCACACCCAGGGGGATGTGCCCCAACCTGGACAGGAGTCTGCCTCGGGCAGTGAGTCAGGGCACAAGGATGAACTATGACAATGCTAGGTCACACATGAGTGGACCCGTGGGGAGGAACTTTGTCCTGCATGCTGGGCTGCCCAGTCCCTGAGGGCCATGGACCAGAGGTGGGCCTTGGTCTGCTGCCCAGGCGAGGGGATCCTGCTCGTCGCCTTCTGCATGGTGCTACTGTTCTTGGAGCAGACGTGGAAGGACACCACTGTGTGGGCCTGGCTGAAGGCTCAGAAATAGGCCCAGAGCCACGGAAGGACCTGCACAGGCAGCGTGTGACAGCAATAAAGTATTTAAGTGTCTCTGTAGACAACCAAAGAATAAATGACTGGTGGTTTCTTGTTTAGTTTGTTGAGAGAATGAAAATGTGCCTATTCTGCCCCAGCAACTTCCTTTGGTAGAAACTGCTCTGGGCAGGATGCAGTGGCCTATGTGACAGTAGGAGGCCCTGCTAGAACCCAGTGCAGCTGCTTCTGTGCAGCCCCAGTCCGGACACCTAGCCAGACACCTTGGGGTTGGTGTCTGCATGAGAGGAATCATAGTCCTTGTTCTGCCTACCTTGTGGGGCAGCCTTGTGGCCCAGATCCAGTGTCAGATGTGATGACACTTTGTAAACTGTAAAGCTCTGAATGAACAGCTGGGATTATCACTAATCCTGTCCTGGCAGGGAGTGGCAGTCAGCAGTGCTTCCTGCTCTGCTAGCTGTTCTCTAAGCCCTACACCACAGGGCCTCCCTGTGCAGGATAACACTGCTAGGAGAAAACATGCAATTGGAGAGTCAGCTCCACTGGCCGTGTCCCTGGCACTGAGCCCATCACCTTCACCATGCTTGAGATGTCACAGGGCGGGGAGTGTAGGAACCTGCACTCTTGAGTAATGGTTTAATCAATTGACTAATACACATTGAGCATCAGCTAAGTGGTGCTGAGAATGTGATAGGGAACAAAACAAGCCCCCACCTTTATAGAGCTATTGTATAGGGGAGACACAATAAACATAAGTAGGGCCAGGGATTTAGCTCAGTGGTTCTGCTGCCTGCCTCGCAAGCGTAAGGACCCAAGTTCGATACCCGGTACCATATAAATAAACGTAAGCATATGTGTTTGTGTGTGTATAGTCCTTTGAAATAGAAAATAAAGCAAGTCCGATCCCCGAGGCAGGAGGAAAAGCCAGGAGGCCAGCAAAGTGACAGCGGGCCAGGGGATGTGGAGGCCAGATTTGGGAGCCCCCCAGCAGGGTTTGGAGTGGGAGAGTGGAGGCATCGCATTTGGAAGGGCTCCATGAACATGTGGACACTAAGCCATGAGTGTAGGAACAGACACAGGGAGACCAGTGAGGAGCAGCAGAGTGACAAGGGAGAGGGAAAGATGGCTTGGGCCGGAGATAAGCGATGAAGGTGGCAGTGACCAGTTCTAGGTCTGGTCTTAGTACAAAGCCAACAGGAACTGCTGATGGATTGCCACCAGATATGACGAAAGCACCCAGAAGCCCAAGGAGCTGGACCACAAACTGCCTCTTCCTCCCCAGTAGCCCCAGGGAATCCTGGGAGGGTGGCTGGTGTGTGGGAATCCAGACTTTGGTTTAGGCACGCTCAGCTTGAGTGTGAGGCCTGTACTGACGCCATTCAAAGCCAGGAGAGAGGGGGTCAGAAAACGGCTTGTCTGGAAGCAAGTGGGGCTGGAGGGTGGTGGGACCCACTGCTGAGAGCTGGGGAGCCAAGAGAGATGGCATCCTGGAGTCTGACAAGGGCATCAAGGAGGGAGGAGTGTGATGTCACAGGTTCCCCGGAGGGTGAGCATAACAAGAACTGAGGATCCGACTTTGGATTCAGCAGCAGAGAGATCAGCAAGAGATGTCTGCGGGGAGTGGGCACGGGTGAAAGATGGACCAGGGAGTTGGGAAGGTGGGTGAGTGGAGACCAGGCGTGATGATGGGTATGGACAATTTTGTCCAGGTATTTGACACTAAGCACAAGCAAAAAGATGAACTAGAAAGAGACATGGTCATGAAACAATGGTTCTCCAAGGTGGGGATAGCGTTGCACATTAGTTTGCCGTGGGGAATGGTCTAGTCCAGTCACCATCATTGTTTGTCCTCTGCGTCCTGTCTGGGAGACTTATTCACCGTGCAGTCAGATCACATTAAAGGAAAATGTGTGAACTTTACCCTTGCCCTGAGCAGAGCAGCTCTCACTCTCCCACGTGAAGCTGTATGCCCAAGTTGTGCAGCCTCCAAGTGTGTTTCTTCACCAGGACAATGGGATCACAGTCTGTACTGCTCCTGACACAAAGTACCCAGCACAATGCTTAGCACACAGTAGAGACCCAACATTATAGAAATCTACATCGGCCTCATTCTGATTTTCTGGAAGTTTCCACCTTAAAGCAGATGACCTTTTTAGTTTCAACACATGCTAACCACATACAGAGAGCATAATGTGTGTTGTTTTCAATAGCAACAAGACCAAGTGTATGTAATTAGGCTGGGGTAGGCAGTTGGCTTGAGATGGAAGGAGAGCCCACAGGAGCTGTAGAGGGGATGAGAGGCAACCTGGCAAACCTGGGGAGATTTGGACCTGACAGCCCTGGGTCTCCAAATCCCAAGGCCATCACAGAACTCTCAGCAGGCACCTGAGACCTCTGTACAGAGAGCCAAAGGGCATCACTGGGCTGTGCTGTGTGCCACAGAAATGTCCTTGTCCTGGGTTAGGCAGTGAGGCCCAAGAGGCTGCTAGAATGGCCTCGAGATGTTTACTGACTCAGGAAGGAGGCTAATAGGGTACTAAGTGCAGTGAATGGGAATCTGTAGAGTATTATGGAATTTCAGATCAGGGTGTTTAACCATGCCTGGGCGGCCACACTGCTGGCTCTTTTGCCTTCCAGCTTGTGGCCCTTGGTAAGTCCTCTCTGCCTGGGCCTGCGATTACACGGGAACCTCATTACCCTGAGTTGAGGGTAGTAAGACCAGCACTACTTCTGAGCCTCCAGAGCTTCCCATGGTGGCTGCAGAGAATGTGCTAGATTACAACAGAGTGAATCAGACCCTCCTAACTGGCCATGAGAGAGGCTGGTGGAAAGGTCCCTGATGTTTCATTAGGAAGAAGGCAAAAACATTTAATCCTCACACCCATCACTCAGTCATCAACACACTTGCCTATGAGGCACTGTTGCAGAGTATGCGGCAGTGGGTCCTCAGTTACAGGCAGTCTGTGCCACCCTCGATGAGAAGACATGAGCAGGCCACCATCCTGGGGATCTTCGGTAAAGCTTCCACTAGCCATGGTTCTTTTGGCATCTTACACGATCTCACTGCTTGATCCTTGTAGACTTGTTGTGAACCTGACAGAAAAATAACTCTTTTTAAAACTATGTATGTATGTATGTATGTATTTATTTATTTATTGGTACTGGGGATCGAACTTAGGACCTTGAGCTTGCAAGGCAGGCAGGGAACCACTGAGCTAAATCCCTGACTCTGAAAATAACTCTTTTTTTTCACTTGAGGAACCAGACTGAGGGAAGCTGAGGGACTTGTCACACAGTTTCTCAGTGGCAGAGGTAAAGCTAGAACCCTCAACCTCTTGTAACACAAGTAAAAGCACATTTTAAATGGTAACCTGTGTGGCCCCAGAGAAATTTCATATAGGTCTTATGGGATGACAGGTGGGACCCTGAGCCTTCCTGTGCTTTCTGCATGCCTGGCAGTCACTGAGCTGCATGGGTCTCCAGGAGAGCTAGGTACCTGGGATACAGAGTTGTTCGGGTTAGAAAGTAGCACTGCAGAGAAGACATGAGTGCACGAGGCTTTGAACACTGTAGGAAAGCCTTTTTTAGTGCAACAGACTCAAAACAGCGACAAGAAAAAAGGGTAAACAAAAGAGATCCAGAGGAAAAAGTTGGCCTCAGGCTCTGGAAGCACAGGATGTAGAAAACAGAGAGACCTCCTACTGCTTCTGGGACCTCACAGCTGTAAATCTGGCCTTGGACAGCAGTCTCTTCCTCTCTGGCTCTCAGCTCTCTTGAGTTATCAACAGAGGGAGCTGCACGTGGTCTCTGAGGCTTTGGGTGGCTCTGACACTCCATTTCTACGTGGCCTTGAGGCTCCAGAGATCCGACACCTCACTTGGGCCTCCTGAGGCCAGAGTGATGCCTGGTTCTTTGAAGAGAAGCACTTGCAGAAGGAAAGAGAAGGGACCAAGGCCCAGCTTAGGGAGAGATGGGGGTCACCTTTGGGAACCGGCATGCTCCAGGCAGGTGCCAAGTGCAAGTGCCTCCCTTCCCCAGATGTCACTTACCTTGTTCCTCCTTCACAGTTCTGTGAGATAGATGTGCTTACAGGTAAGGACACTGTGGTGGACTAACTAATGGCCACCTTGGAACACCCCGCTGAACTGAATCAGTGTAGTTCTGGGCATGGAAGACGCACCCACCTGAGGATTGCCGTCAGCAGCGTAAAAAGAGAAGTGGAGGGGAAGATTGTGTGCTGTGATTTTCTTGGAAAGGCTTGCTGTGGTAGTTTTTCCTCATCTGAACTCAGCTGTTCTCATTGTCAGTGGAGCTCTTATACTCTCTGTTGCTGGGAATGGCTGCTGTTCTCAAGGGAGCTCTGGTCTCTTGTTTTAAAGCATTGCTTCCTGGCTCCAGAGCAGATCCCTCAACCTGGTGGCAGAAATCCTTCACCCCACGGGTGCAGGCTTTCTAGCTGCCACCACTGGCCTTTGGGCTTTCCAGGTGCAGATCCTCCATATGGACATTGCTGTGGGCTCTAGGTCATTAGGTGGACTCTCAGAGGACATCACCTTGGACCCTAAGCCTTCAGCTGGACTTGTACAGGACATTGCTATGGGATCCAGGCTCTCAGCTGGATCCTTTGGGTCTCTGGTGTGTGGACAGATCTCTTGCGCTCCTCTGCATTTGGCTTTTTGGGTGAATATTATAAAATAATCCTATAAATTATGTGTCCTATATTAAACCTGTCCCCTTGTAAACCATGACTACCACGGTCAGCTTGGGTTATCTATAAGGAGCGTCTTATGTCTGCTGCCCCTCAGCATCTGGACCAGTGTCTGAAAGCCAAGGTTGTAGGGAGGGACCAGGAGCTGGCACCACACACATCCCAGAGAAGCCGTTCCTGCTGCTCCCCGTTGGGTGAGTCCCCCACCCCAACCCAGAGGAGGCTTTCCCACCTGGGAGGCTGCCAGAGTGTCAGAGGAATTAGCATGAGAAGCACCAATCACAGCATGCTCACGTGGTCCCCAGGAGTCTTGGGTTTTTGTCCCCTTCCCTGCTCTGGACTCTAACAACAGCCTCAGCTCCCCTTGATCCTACTGTCCTGTTATTATCTGTGGCAATTTAGGATGACTTCTCAGCCACCACTCTAGACCCACTAGCTTTTTGGGACCCACAGCCATATCATGAGGCAGGTCTGTGTAGACCAAGACGCACATGGCTCCGACCTTCCTGACAGGATTGGAGGGGCCTGGTGTGCAGTCCAAAGGCCAGACAATGCCCACCCTTGGCCCCTCGGAGGGCAGACCACTCCCCCTGCTCTGTACTGGAGCTGCAGGCCATACCAGTGGCCCACGCCCTAGGCGGGCACACAGGGCAGCCATTGTCTGTGCAGTGCCTGGCACTTTCTTGTTTGCATAGCCACGTGAAGAATGTAAGGGAGCAGGCTAGGGATTTGTCCTTGGGAGGGGGACAGGGGCTATGGGGGAGGAAGTTGGCTGGGGTTGCAGCAGGGCCCTGCAGTCCCCCAGTACAAGCCAGGAAGGGCGGTGGGCTGCTGGGGATTCAGGGGGTGACCAGGGTCTTGCAGGAGTGGAAATAGGGGTGTAACATTCCTCCTGCACCCACACTGAGCCAGGGACTGAAGTGGACGTGAGGGGATTGCTAATGAGGTTGAGGGGAGTTAAACATTCCCCTGCTCCTGAGGGCGAGCTCTGATGGGAGAGAAAGGAAGGGGGGGGTGTCTGGAAGGTGGGCAGCCTGAACCTCAAGAATGTTCACAGGCCACTGCTCCCCCGAGGCTGTTTTGGAGCTGGGAGCCCAGCCCACTGTCCCACGACCCAGCAGGAGCTGGTGAAACAGTCAGCAAGGGGATTAATGGGCTGAACAATCTGCCTTCCTTCAGGTCAAAGCCAGAAGGCCGGTGCTGTCTCCCTAGCTCCCTGCCAGGCCCCGTGCTGGCCTGCAGCCAGCTCTGACCTAGCCTCTTCTGAGCCCTCAGATCTCAAACACACCCCATAGTACATACTCCCTGGTCTAGCCGTCTGGCCCCCTTAATTCTACATGGATCCCAGCTCTCCAGAACCCTTGTCCCCAGCACTCAACTCACAGCCTAGTCTCTCTACATCTGGCCTCAGAAATTCTCCCTGATGTCTCACTCTAGTTTCACCTGCTGTAAGATGGAACTCCTTTTCCTTTCAGTCCTCAAATCGGAGGACAGGAAACCTCAAGGGTCAGATCAGCCTTACAAGAGCAAAGTTCATCATCTCAGGGCTGTTGCTCAGGGTAGGGTAGGGACGAGAATTTTAGGGGGCGTGAATCAAGCTCCTAAAGGGTAGAAAGGCTGGGAGTAGGCAGGACCACTTTTCTCAGCCCCTCCTTCTCTATTCCTGGGATGGGGGGGCAGGGGTACCCACCTGGGCCACAAGTCCCGCCCCCCACCCCCAGGGGGCTGGGCATGAGCTTTGCTGGGTACCCTGGCCTGGTTTAGGCAGCTGTTGTGGGCGGGCCTTTGGCCTTTCCCCCTGCATTCTGGAGCCCAGAGCCAATACCCTTGCTGCTGCTGAAGCTGCTGTCCCCTCTCCTCCTCTGCTTCTGACCACTCACGGCTCCCCTGCCCAGCTGTTCTTTCTCCTGGCCATGACCACAGCAAGCCCCAGGACCCTGGCCCAGCTCTGAGCCCTGGGGCCCTTGGTCCCCTCCTTTGGGCCATGGCCAACTCAGGTCTTCAGCTGTTGGGCTACTTCCTGGCCCTGGGTGGCTGGGTGGGCATCATTGCCAGCACAGCACTGCCGCAGTGGAAGCAGTCCTCCTACGCAGGCGATGCCATCATCACGGCTGTGGGCCTCTACGAAGGACTCTGGATGTCCTGCGCCTCGCAGAGCACTGGTCAGGTGCAGTGCAAACTCTATGACTCACTGCTCGCCCTGGACGGTAGGTCTCAGGCTGGCGGGCTGGGAGGTAGGGTATGGGTTGGGCTGGGGGTCCACAGCAAGCTTCCTACAGTCTGCTGTCAGCTCCGGGCCCCACACTCCAACTCCCTGCATGATCCCCACCACCATCCTGTGAATACTGGGCCCTTTGGGAGCCAGGGGGCTCTGGGTAGAGCCTGGCAGCTTCGAGTCCACTGAAGCCTTGTGAGACACCGGTGTTTTTGCATTCTGGGCTCCTTCTCTGTAAAAGGGAATACTAACACCTTGTTCGCATAAGAGGGCCTGGCACAACAAAAGCCTGAGACCTTTCAGTCCACTTCTCCCCAGCTTCTATACACAAACACACATTTGTGTGCACATAACTACTGCCCAGTCCTCCATGTCAGCGAATGTGCTAATGCACATACACAAGCACTGGAACACACACACACACACACACACAGGAGTTGGCATGTGGCCCTCTCTTCCTGGGGTGTGGAGTTGAGACACAGACTGGCTCATAAGTGGGCACCCAAGCTCTAACCTTTGGTGGGCTGAAAGGCCACACTCTGCCCAGGGCCCCACAGCCAGCCAGGCAGCACTGCCCTCAACTAGTCCCACTGCATGAATCCAGCAGGTCATGGGCCTCCTTCATGGCTCTCTAGAGCTGGCCTGGGCCCCAGGACTGACCTGCATACCCTTGCCAGGAGCTGGGACGGTGGAGCGGGTATCTGGCTGTTGTGGGTGGGTGATTTACAGGGCAGAGAGGAAGGTGACCAGAGTCAGAGGGGCTAATGAGGATTGAGGGCTGCTGCCTGGGGCCTGGCTGGGCTGAAGGGGGCCTCAGACACACTCAGCTTTGGAAGAGCTGCTTGGGAGAGTATGCCAGGCCCAAGACAAAGCGGCAGAAAAGCCAATTCGAACTATTCTGTCACCAAAGTACAACTGGGAGGACCCTGTAAGAGGGAGTGGAAAATGGGGTCAAGGTGAAGGGGACTCTCATCCCTGTATCCTGTCCTCACACCCATAGTCACCTTTCATAGCCTTACCTGCAGGCAGATGGTCTGGCCTCAGCCAGCTCCTGCGCAAACCCCTCCAATGCAGGCTCCTCCCACCACAGGTGGGACCCCCACACAAGGCCCCACACCCTAACCGCTCAACTCCCTCTCCATCCCCTCCCTCCCTCCCAACCCCTGCTCAGCGCAGTCCTGGCCCTGCCCTAGGTCACATCCAGTCAGCACGAGCCCTGATGGTGCTAGCTGTGCTCCTGGGCTTCGTGGGCATGGTCCTCAGCGTCGTGGGCATGAAGTGCACACGAGTTGGAGACAGCAACCCCATCGCCAAGGGCCGTGTGGCCATCTCTGGCGGTGTCCTCTTCCTCCTGGCAGGTGAGTGTCCCTGCTTCCTTTTCCAGCCTCTTGGCACAGAGTGGCTGACCAGGGACTGGGCACAGCTGAGCACCTCTCCGCTTTGTCCTCAGGCCTCTGTACTTTGACTGCTGTCTCCTGGTATGCCACCCTGGTAACCCAGGAGTTCTTCAACCCGAGCACACCTGTTAATGCCAGGTGAGTGCCAGGGTTGGGCTCCTGCTTCAGCTGCTCTGGGGCCACTATCCTGCGTCCAGCAGTCACTTGGAAGAGGACGTAGGGAGTGGGACCCAGTTACTGTCTGAGAAACTCTGGAGCAGGGACCCAGGCTGGGCCCCTGATGTGGGCAGGAAGCTGGTGAGGGGAACCCAGGATCTCCAAGTTGCTAAGACCCTGGCTCTGAGCTCTGTTCTCATCTTAGTCCTGCGTGTCCTGGCAGGATCTTGGGAAAGTTACCTCATCTTTCCATGTCTGGCTTCTTTCTCTGTAAAATGGAGCCAGGGCCCGAGGATCAGCCCTCACATGGTGGTTGAGTCAACCAGACAATGCAGGTAGAGGTTAGCACAGTGCCTGGGCTGAGAGATTGCTCAGTACAGCTGAAATGCTCTTATTTCTCCTGAAGGAAGCAGGCTGAGATGGCTTCCTACTAGATGAAGCAGTTTTATGGGACCAGAGAGATGAGACTGGAAAAAAAGGGCAGGTGGAGCCAGGCCTAGCAGCCTTCCAGGAACTGTTCTTCATCCTAGGTTGGAAGGCAGCGCAATCCCTCTCCTGTGGTATGCAGAATGGGAGAAGGGCGTAGAACCCATAGGTGGCAATGGCAGAGGATCTCAAGCAGAGAACTCAGAGCCAGGAAGGTAGCCCTGGAAAGCAGATTTAGAGATATCTGGAAGCTCGAATGGTCAGAATTTACAAAGTTAGGGGCGTAAGGGCTGAGTCAGGGGCTGTCAGAAGAGTCTGGCCCGCCCTGCTCCTCCCAGCCCAACCAGGAACAAAGAAGGGATATCTGAGATATTCTGACAGGCCCAGGAGTGGAGGGCAGAGGAGAAAAGAAGACTGGGCAGTGAAGAAGACTCCCTAGAGTAGGCGGAGGTGCGGAAGGGAGGGGAAAAGGAGGAGGCTTCAGGTGTGAGCCTATTCCTTGGGGGTCAGCTACAGCCACAGAGACCTGCCAAGCAAGATCAAGCTCAGGGGCCAAGCTGGGACTGGGCCCTTCATCCTTTCATTGTCCCAGGGCTGCCTGGATGGGTTGAATCCCAGCCTCTGTCTGCCCTCCAGGAGGTTTTGGGAACTGAAGGGCCTACTGGAAGGTCAGGGTGAGCACAGGGGCATCAAGGAAAGCCTCCACAAGGAGGTGGCATGGGAACGAAGCCCTAAAGGCAGAGTAGGAGCTAGGGAGATTCTCCAGGAGGGGTGCCTTGTGCTAAGGCACAGAGGCCGGAGACAAGGGAGGGGCCAGGCTGGCCAGCAGGGCCCAGTGTGGAGAGCCCGAATGCTGGGGGAGGAGCTTGGCCTTCCCCCAGAAGACAGTGGGAAGCAACCCTGGCTGCCTATTCAGACCTTGAGGTCCTCCCAGGCCCCCTCCACTGGCCAGATGGGGAAATGAGCCTGGAGCATCCACAGCAGGGCCTGGAGAGTAGACCTCCAGCCTACAGGGCCACCCCGTGCCTAGGTTTCTTTGTGGTGTTGATATGCTTGGTGGATGGTGTGGACGAAGGACGAAGGAGGAAAGAGGAAGAATGAATGTTCACCCTAGTTTATCTGGGGTGATGAGGGGGCTTGAGCACTTTGACCTCCAGCTCCCCGCACCCTGCCCTCCCAGTCCCAGGACCCTGAGAAGAACCCCAGAGAGGGCCAGGGGAGGCAGGGCCGGGGTTTGTAGACACACCTGAAGCTGCTCATCCTCTACTCTGCAGGTTTGAGTTTGGCCCGGCTCTGTTTGTAGGCTGGGCCTCAGCTGGCCTGGCCTTGCTGGGGGGCTCCTTCCTCTGCTGCACATGCCCAGAGCCCGAGAGAGCCAACAGCACGCCACAGCCTTATCGTCCAGGACCCTCAACTGCTGCACGAGAGTACGTCTGAACCCAAACAGTCCTCCTGCCCAGCAGCCCCTCACCCAGCACTCCAACCAGCCTTGACGACATTCTAAACGGGCACAGGATGTCCCCCAAACCCCATTATGGGCTCTGAGAACTTGGTCCTCAACACAGATGCCCACTCTGCCATCTATACTCAGAAAGAGATCAGCAGCAAGACCCCCTGCCACATGCACACAGCATACATATCCCTCACGCACCAGCCCAGCGGCCGGCTGTCACCTGCCTGCTTACTTACTGCAGGGCCACACGTTTACCACGCGCTGGGCCCGGAGGATCCTTCAGAGACTAAGATGGATGTTAGAGCCCAACACCTGAGGGTGGGCAGAGCCCTTCACCCTTGTGCATCCTACTGCAGTCCCCAGATAAGGAACGTCCCCGTGTTCCATGCTAGGACCCTGAGGTTGAGAGACCAAGAGGCTCAGCCCTGCTTTCTCTGAGTGTTGGTCTCAGGCTCATCCAGTCATTCGGCGCTGCCTGGACAAACAGATAGCAAGGCCAGACCATGCCACCTTCACCCCTGGTAATGGGCCCCAAGCAGGGCTGCTATGAGGGCCAAGGTCCCATGGCGCTGGCTAGCCCATTTCCCCCACTGCTGCTCACCCCACTAACCAGCTCTCTCTCTTTTGACTTTCAGACCCGTTGTTAAATTGCCCGTCTCCACCAAGGGCCCCCTGGGTGTGTAATGTCCAAATTCCCAGCTAGGCTCTGTTCCCCTGCCACACCTAGGTTGCCTGCTTGGTATTTTTTGGAAAGAGAAGTGAACAATTCAGCCCCAAGTGTGGTGTCATTTGCTGTGTTCCTGGCAAGCCTAGGTTGGAACCTGGTGTAGAGAGGTTGGAGCTGACCCCTGGGGCTCTTGGAGTGGGTTACACAGCACAAACAGGGCAGTGCAGGAAAGGACTTGGGGTCCTGTCCTCCCAGGTAGGCCTTTGGGTTGGTAAGAGGGCCTCCCAGAGGGGAGATCCCACCCAGGCTTCCCCTGGCCCAGCACTGGAAGCAGATCCCTGGGGTCAGAGAACCTCTGGTGTGGAGAAAACTCACAGATAACAAGCCCCGCCTCCTAAGGGAAGGGACAATCCCTGTGAGGCCTTCTGGCTGGGATTGGATCAGTGCTGGGTGAGAGGACAGAGTGCAGGAGCTGCCCCCATAGGAAGCCCCCAGATCAGCTCCACCCCAGATCCTGCAGTGGAGACTGTGGTCAGAGCTCTATGCTGCATCCTAGGGTGCAGTCAGTTTCATGGGTTTATGGTCTTGAAGTCCAGATAGGCCCCAAGACCAGGGTGTGTCCTTCACCCTGACTGAGCTGGCCCTGCCCACATTCTCAACCTCTGCCAGTCAAACACCAACCCTGGACTCCAGGTCTCTCCCTGCCCCTGCCCCTTCCCTTCTACGTACAGGAGACATCCTCATGGAAAGAGGCATCCATCACTATCCTCTACCTTCCTCACCCCCTTTTCATGGCCAGATCTCCCACCAGTTCCCAAAGACACAATCCAGCTTCTCCCTCAAGCTTGGACCCTTCGAGGTGAAGTAACCAAAATCAAGTCAGAGAAGATGACTGTCACACACGCTGCAGCTGAAGTCAGGGTGGGAGAAGAGAAGGGACAGGGAGCTGGCATGGGTTTGCCCCCTTTCCCTAGCCTGGCAGCTACTGCACATCCACACAGGCCTCTGGCCCCAAATAGACTTACTACAGTCCTACCATCCTGCTGCTCAAGTTATGAGAAATACGGAAGAGACATCCTGACTGCATTGGGTCTGGGTATCAGAACTTATATAGCTGCCCCTAGGGAACCTCATGAGGACACCCTCAGGGGTCCACAGCGGGTAAAGAGCTTCCAAAAGAGGGAGGAAAGGCAAGGCTGGAGAGGAAGCACCATCTCACTCCTGCTCTTCCGGAGACCAGGCCACTGGAGGAGACGCCCACATCCTTCCGATCAATACAGCTTTGTGTTGAAATGATCTTGAGTCTGGATCCTGTCACACATAACCCCAAGGGCCCTAACACAGAACTTGGAACCCGGAAACTCAGCTTTGCACTGAGGGCTATTACATGGCACCAGCTGAGCAGGTCCCAGGCCAGCTATTTAGCAGTCTTCCCTATTTGATAGACCTGGCCAGGAAACATTACCTCTTGATATTCAGGGGCACAGAGCCTTGGGACTTGGTGAGAGGATGTCAAGACATCGTACTCCATGGCCTTAACACCCAGCACGCACCCCATCTCAGTCTGATCACAGCAGACAGTATGCTGCTACTTCTGGGTTTAGGGACAGGCGTGGAAAGACAAGCTCCATACAGGGGACCTGACAGCATTAAAGGAACGGGGTAAGGGGTGGTCAGATAACCACAGCTCGGTGTCACACAACCAATTAATACACCAATCAAAATGCCTGAGAGGGCCAGGGATTTAGCTCAGTGGTGCCACCACCTGCCTCACAAGCACAAGGATTCGAGTTCGATCCCTGGTACCAAAACGAAACAAAAAAGCCCAAGATCCTAGCAGAGGGAAGATGTCTGGGAGAAAATAGAGGTGTTTGAAATTAAGAGTCTGGGGATCTGGAGCCCACTGGCCTCTCCTGAAGTTAACTATGTTCAAATGCCTTTGTCAAGGTCACCTGGGCTGCCAGAGGCAGGGCCTATTTTCCATGCCTCAGGCATGGGCCAGCCTATTGTTTCCTGTCCCAGCCCTGAGGCTGATTGAGTAGAGACCCATGGAGGTGGGGTCTAGATTCAAGAGTATGGTTCTAAAGATTTTGCCAAGGTCTATTAATAAACAGAACCCCCCCGACAAAGAATGAAACTGTCAGTGCCATAAAATACAATTTTGGGAGGGATTGCACACAGCCCTGAAGGAAAGCCCCAAACCCTAGGGAAGCTTACCAGGAATCTCATCTACTGCCTGGGGAGACGCTTGAAAAATGTGTATCTGAGAATATGGTATACATTAGCTGATTTTGAGATTTGTTATATATTAATTTTGTGATGACTCTGGTTGTTTCTGATCCTTACCTGGAAGAGGTGCACACTGACATGATGGCTGGACTTGCTTTAAAATATTCTAGGAACAAGGAGTGCATGGGCAAGGGAAGCTAAAAAGTAAGATTGGTAAATGCTACTTGTGGGGGTTCACTCTACCCTTGTTTGTATGTTTGCTAATGAAAGAAAAATTAAAAACAATTTTAAAGGTGTTTTGGCTGTATAATTTTTGTTGTTTTTTGAGAGAGGGTCTCATTATGTAATTGAGACTGAACAACTATGTGGCCCAGGCTGGTCTTGAACTCACAGCACTCCTCCTGCCTCAGCCTCCCAAAGTGCTGGGATTACAGGAGTGTCACCACGCCCGGCTTGGCTGTATAATTTAATACAATCCCTGTAACAGGAGAATAAGGATGAGGAATATGCTAGAAACTCTTGCTATGCAGAGCAGTCCTCAGCATTGCATTGCCTGGAAATGTAGACACAGAGGCTCCCAGCCCTTCACTCAGACCTAGTAACTCTAGCTTGGCATCTTAACAAGACCTCCAGGTAGTTTGTGCACACGTTGACGTTTGAGAAGCACTGATACAGGCTAGTGAGATCTCCATGGTGCTTCTGTTTTTTAAAATCGAAACTTCAATAAATAATAATAATAATAAAAAAAATGAGAATTTCCATTGAGCTTATCCTGTATCGCCCCATTTGTCTGTTAGGTACACAGACCACTGGTACACTAAATTTTGCTAGAGCTGACAATTTATGAGAAGCTACTACTAAACCTGGTCCAGACAAGCAACTGAGGTGAACAACTCCTGAAATGCTTTCCAACTTTTTTTTTTCCTCAACATAATATATTTGGTTCAACTTATGGGAATATTGAAAACAATTTTGTTCTGGCCAATTCTAATAAAAACAGCTGAAAGGGCTGGGGATTTAGCTCAGTGGTTCTGCCACCTGTGAAAGCACTAGGTCCCAAGTTCAATCCCCAATATTTGGCCCCAAATTCAAACCCCAAAAAAAAAAAAAAAAAAAAAAAAAAAAAACCACACACACACACAAAAAAAACCTTAGTCTTGGGCCGAGGATTTAGCTCAGAGGTTCTGGCTCCTGCCTTGCAAGTACAAGGACCGGGAGTTCAATCCCTGTACAAAGAAACAAAAACAGCTGAAAATGGTCAGGTACAGTTCAAAACATCAAAGGGCTGCCACGATACTATGAAAGTCCCAAGTCAAAGCCCTGGAACAGTCTTCCCTCAGCCACAGTGTCCCCAAAAGTTCCCATGATGTTGGGGGTCACTAGTGCTACTTCCAAGGGGACTGAATAAGTGGGTGTACTGAGGTTAACGGGAGCCAGGCAGTTAATAGAGTTCCACATACCCTTGGGCCTTGCCCCAAAAGTTTGGGTCCCCATCCTTCTCGAGTGGTGATTTCATCTACGACTGTAACTGCCTCAGCCTGCACCCACTCCTTGGCTCCAAACCAGCTTCCTGCACACTCCCAGGGCATCTCAAAGTCCTCATCTAAGGTTGAACTCACAGGCCCTCCCAACCCAGTGCATTTTCTATGCTGGTAAAGGACACAGCGGGCACGTCTCCTTCATTCCTGCATCCTACTCCAGTGCTGAAAACATGTCAACTTTGAGCCCTTCTGCCACACTTCTCATCCAGGTCTCACCACTTCACTTATCTGGACTTCTGTGACAGTAAACAGATTGGTCACTTCTGGCTTCAGAATAAAAATTCTGAAGTGAAACTTGCTCTATTAAAAAGTCCAGAGTCCCCAGCACCAGCTCTTTGGCCCAGATAAAAAACCACAGTGCAGAAAAGGGAGATCCAGAGTATTTGTGAGAGGTTAAAACCTAAGGCTAGGGATAAATATGGTACAAGTCAGCAGTCTTACCTACTTCTAACATACCTTTTATAAATCTGGAGCCAGGTTGGGATGTAGGCAGCCCCTCAGAGTTAAGGGATGCCCTTCAGAGGCAACTTCTGAGAGGTGATATTGCCCTTCCCCAGCTACAATCCAGTACCACTGAGGCCAGATAATCCTTCCCCCAGAACCTCACAACTGAACTTGTCCTGCAGTGTGCCAGTCTACCAGACACTCATGCTTCCCTGCCAGCTGTCACTACATTCTCATCAGTGCTTTTTTCCCCTAGTAATGGGGATTACACACACCCAAGGCCTTTGTACCGAGTTATATGCCTCACCATAACGCCTGATGGTGAGTTCTACAGTATACCCATCACTTCTAAGCTTTTCCCTCCTCTAAGATCCCCAACTTCTTTAGTCTGTGCCTTTGAACAAAATTCATCCTGGGTCCCTATTGTCATCCTTTCAGGTAACAATGCTTCAATCACTTCTGGCAATTACCAATACCCATGGAGAAGAGCTATTTAACACACCATGGTCTATTTTAATATTTAAGATTAGCTATTCACCAATATTGCTCTCCACTTCTACTAAATATGTAACTGTCTTAAATCACATTCTTTGTACCTGGGAAAAAATACCGAACACCCACAGCTTAAAAGGAAAAGCTGCTCACCTCATGGCAGTTGGGAAACAAAGAATTTAGGAGCCAGGAAAGGAGATGTACCCTTCCCAGTCACCCACCTCTTCAGGCTAGGTCTCTCCTAACCCGGCATCTGGCCAGAGCCCTGTGACTTAATCATCTTTCAAAAGGCTTTGCCTATGAGCAAACAACCTGGGGGGGGGGGTGGACGGGAATAGATGTAAACCATAACAGTATATGCCAACTACATCTTACTACCAGTAAGGCTCAAGCTTTTTTCATTCTTGCCAACACTTGTTATTTGAGAAGTCACCAGCAAGGTGTATGGGCACTAACACATCTCTGTAGCATGAACATCTCTCTACAACTAAGTGGGGTAAAAATTCTGTCAAGTTATCAGGTTCTACTACTACAAAGAATTGGTACCAAAGTGATTTATAAGTCTTTTAGCAAATACTAGTGGGAGGCAACTCATGTGCCCACTGCACTCACAAGTCTTTTTAAGTCCAACAGGATTTGTTCTGTGAACCCCAAGCAGGTTCTGGAAAGAAGTACCAATGACTGGACTTGCATGGCATTACAGATACAGGGGGCTCTGGATGTGCCACTCCAGCCTACCCCACAAACCCAGTGTCTCCCCTGGCTCTGGAAGCAGATCAGGAGGTGCTGTCTAACTCAGCACTCTGGAAGGCAGAGGTGGGAGAACCTTTACAAGTGTGAGCTTAGGCAACTTGTCTGAACCCATTTTTAATACAGTACAATAACTTATTATTCTGCAGCAAAGACCAAAGAATACCAACATTAAACAACAACCAGATAAGGGTTTAAGATATAAGATGTTGAAACCAAAACAAAACAAAACAAAAAAACAACACAATTTCACCATTGGTTCTTTACCATAGAACTAGACAAGCCACTCTCAGGAATACCCTGATTCCATGCACGGCGGGCCTTTGCAACTGGCAGCTGAACTAATTCGATCACAATGACGGCTAAGTGGAATGGGAATCCAGACCCAGTCTATGCTAAAGAACACCCTTTCCCTTTACCACTTCACATTAAAAGAAACCCCACAAAACTTATATTATTTCTACAAAGAATTCATGACAGATGAGCTAATCCTTAAATGAAAAATAAGTCATTTATCGAGTACACCATTATTTCCTAATTTTCACTATAAACCCACAAAAAAGGATTTCAGATTTTAAGGAACTTTCCTTGATGGGACTGTTACCTGCACAATGGTTTAAGCTCAGGGTCTTATGAATACTGAACGAGCTGCTAAAACAAAACTATACAGAGATATAAAGATAATTATTTAAGACCTTTATTAACAGGTGCTTGCAGTTTGTTGACTTTTTTGAAAAAATCAAGTTGTAAACTTTTATTACAAATTAAAAATGAAGTTCTTAAAAATCTCAACTTGACCAGATATGAAACAATTTAAAAACCTTTAAAGGTGTATTGAGAAAAACCAGGCTTTTTTTAAAAAACACGTTTGTCATTACCAAAAAGAGACGTCTTTAGGTAAAAATAATAAAAACCCCATGCTGCATAGATAATGCAGATAGTTCTAGTTATCTGGTCAATGGGCAAAAAGCAAGCACTTAAGGTCTTCAGTTCCCAATCTTTTGTTCATTTCTTATTGCTGGAATTTCATATTCGTTTCTTCTTGCTGGATGACTAAACTGCAAAGAAAAAAGAAATGAAAGGTTAGCATTGTATAATTTGATGCAATGCTCATTTAGTGTACAAATGCTTCAGGATCTCATCAGCTCTGGATAAGGAAAACATTTAACAAATCTCACTGGTTTAACCTACAATAAGCACCTTACAATCAGAATGGATATCTTTCTGCTATCCAGAAAATACACAGGAGAAAAAAACCTCAAATATCACTGGCTGAAAACAATTCCAGAGCCAAAGAGATAATTATGTCTCTCAATATCAAGTAAAAAGCTGAACACAAGAGCCGGGAATTTAACCCAGTGATGCCACCACCTGCCTTGCAAGTGCAAGAACCAGTTTGGTACCAAAAATCAACCAACCAACCAAACAAAAAACTAAACACAAAAGAATCACTACTTTGTGAATTTAATGCTAACAAAGGAAATGAGAATAATTGCAAACATGCAACATTTTTGATCTGTCAGAAGAATTAATAGCTTTCTTTTATGTGCTCTTCTAAATGATCTCTTAAGAAAAAAAGTTTTAGAAACAAAAATCTTTCCCAACAGTAAAAATAAAACAATTTGGTATCATCATCTAGGCCACTAGATCTAGTAACTACTTTACTCCTTTTTAAAAAGAAAGCATATACAACACAATGTAATCATCGTACTTCTCAGAGTAAGGTTAGCAAAACTTTCAGCTTACTGCTGACATCACAGAAATTATTCAGAATAGAGGGGCCAAATATAGGCAATTCTCAACATTTCTAGAATGCAGTAAATTAGAATCACCCTGAACCACACCAACATACCCGGATGATGGTAGAGATGTTAAGCCGGTATTTACTCAGCCCCGCCCTGCTCAGCCTCGGGAGCGGACGAATTCTCAGCTGGTGGATCGGCTGCTTTAGTCTCTTTGCCATCTTGTGGTTTAGGGTTCTCTGGGCGTCTGCGTCGGTAATTGAAGTTGCGCCGGTACCGACGTTGAGGTGGCTGCTGACCTTGGGTCTCATCTCCTTGATT